TGTAAGATGATTAAAATATGTCTCGTAATGAAAAATAGTTGATGGTAAAGAATAATAAATTCTTAATAATTATATGTATAAAGTATTTATCGTAATTTGTAAGTTTTAGACAAGCGAGAATAAGAATTATCATAAAGAAAAATGAAGAGTTAGATAAATAAATAAAAAGAATACATACAAATTCACGTAAAACAAATCTGTTTCCAAAAATTTTCTGGTTTAAAAATTTTTAAATTACTAAACATTTACAATGCCTCTCTTTCTAATCAATAAAATATTATCTATTATTATTTATAAAGTGTCAAACTTTCATTGGCACTATCATTGTAATAATCTTTTTAAACTTCAGTATCTTGGAAACTGTATGCTAATTAATTAAATTAAAAGAAAGTTCGAGAACATGGTTCTATTCAAGAGTAATTCTTTGAAATTCTATCCACTCCTTACTTGCTTATAATTCAAAAATTATTAAGATTCTGTTGGATTATTATAAACTCTCTATTTGACTTCTACAATTGATAGAGACTGCGCAACTCTTAAATTGTGACTTGTACAACAAATTCAAAACTTTTACCATGTGCAAATATAAAATACATAAAATTAAAAGGCTTAGTTGATCGCGCAATTTGACCGTGATTTTTGGTTTCTACAACAACCACAACCGGGATGAAACTACACTCTTTTTCCCTCTTTCTTACTCTCTTCTTCTCTTGCCTCCGCGAGGGAAGGCGAGACATTCCACCTCGCCGTGATCGGTATGGAATTATCGAAAGTTCTCAATTTATTTATCTCCATCATGTGTATGTGTATATGATCGTTTATATGCACTTTGTGTACATCGTACGTGTATGTATGTGTGTTGCATGCTATTATCTGTATATAACACATTTACAATAATAACAATACGTTGTTCGTCAATGACGATCCACCTTAACTCGCGTATGTATACGTTTATATTTATAATATTTATATATGTAATCCGAAAAAAAGTTTAATAGGGCT